TTCTGCTCCTTTTAGCTACTATTCTACTGCTTTTAGCCTCCATTCTGGCTCTTTTTGCTATTGTTCTACTACTTTAAGGCTCCACTCTGATCCTTCTGGCTTCTATTCTTTAACAACACAGTTTCAGCCTCTTCAGAAAACTTTAGCTGAGTATTCAGAGCTCTGCATTCACAATTGTTCTAGTTTCTAATAGCTACTATGACAAATTCAAATGGTTTTAACTTTCTGTCTTTCCTCTTGATCTGTAAAAGTTACAGAATCTTTGAGTCATCAAGTGTGTGATGATTCAAAGGTTGTTAATGGTGTAAAGGTGCAAACCAAACTTACATTTCCGTGCAGTCAAAACTTCCTGGGAGCCTCACAGGCCCCTGTGAACTCTGACCCCATGCTCACGCTGCGAACACGCTGCGGCTCGCTGTGAGACGGCACAGCCGGGAGGGATTTCTTGGTTCCACTGTACAGCGGTTTAGGGATGGTGGGAAGGACCCTGTGGTGACTGATGGCCGGCTGGGAGCTGCAGTGCTCCAGACTGTAGGAGGCCGTGGGGGGGAACAGGGAGGCAGATGGGAGGCAGGAGGTGACAGGAATGGCGGAGACTGATCGAGCTGCAGTATCCCTGGAAGATTGAGGCGGAGGAGGAAGCAGTGACACTGGAGTTGTAGAGGTCTCCCCTTGCCCTGCTTCCTCCTCATTGCTCCTCTCTTCCCCTTCGCTCGACTCCTTCCTCTCACCGGCCAGAGAGTTTCCTCCCTGCCTCCCCTGCTCCTCCTCCCCAAAATGAATATCCAGCAGAGGCGTTTTGGTGCTATTCTCCTCTCTGAAGCTACACACAGTGCTTTGGGTGTCCTGGCCCAGTCCTGAAGGCAGAGACCCCCCTTTACCTATATTACAGCTTTTCTCTTCCTCCTCCTCCTCCTCCTCATCGCTGCTGCATGGTTCAATGCTGGGGGAGGGCCGTAACCTCTGGATTTGAGCTGAGGCACGACGGAGAGCTCCTCCCATGAAGCCAGGTGGGGACGGAGCGGCGTTGAGGAGGCGGTTGAACAGGGCCATGTTGGGATGGCGAGTACCTGCTTCTTCCATGTTCTCAGCGATGTCCTCTAACGGCTGGAAGTGCATCTCCTCCTTTGGGATGCTGCCGACACACGACAAAGATATATTTGTGTCAGTGTTTATGAAGCATTCACACTATTGTGATCCATGTTTCTTGTTCTACAGATTTTGTGCTATTTCAACAAATCATAGATCAAAACGTTCAGCTCGTTCAGGAGAATCCTGCTTTATTTTTGGTGTTGGTGCAGCTTTAGCTTTTTGAAATATTTAGCCTTTTCTGCCAACTTTTTCTCATAGAAAATGAATGGAGCTCATTTTACATCCTTCAAATCTTCAGATCTGTTTATAACCTTTTACTACTTTTTCACATTTTGTTCTGGTTCAGCTTCTTTCAGTTTGCTAGTGCAAATTTAAACTTTTTTCAGCTACTTTGAGCTGTTTTTGAGCTGTTTTGTGCTCCTTTCAGATTCTTTCGGCTAACTACATCATTTTTGTGCTTCTTCTAACTTCTTCCTGCCAGCTTCAGCTTGTTATGCTCCTTTCAGCTTGTTTCTTCAAGTTTCAAGCTTTTCTATTAGTTCAGCTACTATTTAGCTGCTTTATGATAATTTTAGCTTTTTCATCTAATTTCACATTTTTTGCACTCATTTCAACTTTTTTCATCCTTATTCAGCAAAACTGTGCTCTCTCCACTTACTTCTGGTAAATTAAACTTCTTCTGCTTTTTAGCTACTTTTCAGATTTTTTTTGTTGTTGCTAATTTCAGCTTTTTTCAGCCTAATTGGGCAAACGTGTTCTTTCTGCTTTCTTCTGCTAATTTAAGCTTGTTCTATGTTGTCAGCTACCTTTTTGGCATTTTCTAGCTCCCGATAATTTCTTCTACTTTCAGCCTAAAGAACTTCATTCTGATAATTTCAGCTTGTTATGCTCCTTTCAGCTTAATTATGCTAGTTTCAGCTTTTCAGCAATTTCAGCTGTTTTTATGCTATTTTTTTCAGCTAATTCCACATTTTTAGCTCATTTCAGCTCTTTCCACTTAAGCTTCTTTCTGCCTTTCAGCTACTTTTCAGGCATTTTTTGCTAATTTAAGCTTTTTTAAAAACTCATTTCCTAACTTTTGTGCTCATTTCTGCTTATTTAAACCTATTTCAGCAAATATGTGTTACTGCTTTCTTCTGCTAATTTAGGCTTGTTCTTCTGTTTCAGCTACATTTCAGCATGCTTTTCTAGTTAATTTCAGCTGTTTTTCAGCAAGTTCTTCTGCATTAAGCATTCACGCTGCATTTTCACAGGAAATGCTATATCTCTAGTTAAATTTAAGATCAGACTTTTCCTCAGACCTAAAGGAAGGAAACTTTTACTGATGAAACAGAAACTCACGCCATGTCAAAGGTGGAGCCCTGGAAGGAGGGTTTACGGAGGACAAAGAGGGTGGCTGCGGTGTACGGGGGTCTAGGATTAGAGTCGTTCCAGTAACGGTCTCTCTCCATCATTGGCACATCTCCGTACATCTCATCCACCGCCATCATAGACACCTGAAAGTAAAATGTGCAACGGGTGCACACACACACAGATAAAGTCACGTTAAAGACGCTTAAGAAGGTACAAATAACGCACTTCAAAATTAAAATGGTGACGAAACAGCAGTAAAACACCTGGAAGTTTCTGTCAATCAGCCAGTTGGTCTCAAAGTCGTCGTCATCTTCTCCAAACGGGTTGATGAGCTGCTCTGCGACCTTCAGAACAAAAACACACATCTGACCGTTCAGCTCCCATCAAAAGCAGGAAACAAAGTTTGTGGGAGCCTCAGTCTGACCTTCAGCCACCCTGCGTAGAAGAAAAACTGCAGCAGGGTGAAGATGGGAACGTACAGGTCCAGATCATGACCCGGGTAACCCTGACCCGGGTCCAGGAACTGACGACCGATCAGACACACAAGGAAAAAACTGTACACCGCCAACGTTACCACCTGAGGGACAGAAGTTAATCAGGACCTGTTGAGCACTTCCTGTACGTGGAATAAACACTTAATTTTTTGATGATTTAGTTCGTTTGTTAAGTAAAAGTTATTACTGCTCCATAAAAAGGCATTTATTTTCCTGGATAAACTGTTTTCAGCTCATTCCTGCCGGGTGAGGTTTCTTCAGTTCAGTCCCCTACCACCTTGTGCATGTGCATATTTGTCTGTCTATGTACAAACCGGATTCCAAAAAAGTTGGGACACTAAACAAATTGTGAATAAAAACTGAATGCAATGATGTGGAGATGGCAAATGTCAATATTTTATTCGTAATATAACATAGATGACAGATCAAAAGTTTAATTTGAGTAAATGTAACATTCTAAATGAAAAATATGTTGATTCAAAATTTCACATTGTCAACAAATCCCAAAAAAAGTTGGGACAAGTAGCAATAAGTGGCTGGAAAAAGGAAATTGAGCATATAACGAACAGCTGGAAGACCAATTAACACTAATTAGGTCAATTGACAACATGATTGGGTATAAAAAGAGCTTCTCAGAGTGTCAGTGTCTCTCTGAAGCCAAGATGGTAAGAGGATCACCAATTCCACCATTGTTGCGCAGAAAGATAGTGCAGCAATACCAGAATGGTGTTACCCAGCATAAAATAGCAAAGACTTTTAAGTTATCATCATCAACCGTGCATAACATCATCAAAAGATTCAGAGAATCTGGAACAATCGCTGTGCGTAAGGGTCAAGGCCGTAAAACTCTACTGGATGCTCGTGATCTCCGGGCCCTTAAACGTCACTGCACCTCAAACAGGAATGCCACTGTCAAGGAAATAACAGAATGGGCTCAGGAATACTTCCAGAAAGCATTGTCAGTGAACACAATCCACCGTGCCATCCGCCGTTGTCAGCTGAAACTCTACAGTGCAAAGAGGAAGCCATTTCTAAGCAAGCTCCACAAGCTCAGACGTTTGAACTGGGCCAGGGGTCATTTAAAATGGAGTGTGGCAAAATGGAAGACTGTTCTGTGGTCAGATGAGTCACGATTTGAAGTTCTTTATGGAACACTGGGACGCCATGTCATCCGGACCAGAGAGGACAAGGATAGCCCAAGTTGTTATCAACGCTCCGTTCAGAAGCCTGCATCACTGATGGTATGGGGTTGCATGAGCGCTTGTGGCATGGGCAGCTTGCATGTCTGGAAAGGCACCATTAATGCAGAGAACTATGTTCAGGTTCTAGAACAACATATGCTCCCATCTAGACGTCATCTCTTTCAGGGAAGACCCTGCATTTTTCAACACGATAATGCCAGACCACATTCTGCAGCAATCACAACATCATGGCTACGTAGGAGAAGGATCCGGGTACTGAAATGGCCAGCCTGCAGTCCAGATCTTTCACCTATAGAGAACATTTGGCGCATCATAAAGAGGAAGGTGCGACAAAGAAGGCCCAAGACGATTGAACAGTTAGAGGCCTGTATTAGACATGAATGGGAGAGCATTCCTATTTCTAAACTTGAGAAACTGCTCTCCTCTGTCCCCAGACGTCTGTCGAGTGTTGGAAGAAGAAGGGGGGATGCCACACAGTGGTAAAAATGGACTTGTACCAACTTTTTTGGGATTTGTTGACACCATGAAATTTGGAAACAACAGATTTTTCCCTTAAAATGATACATTCTCTGATTAAACTTTTGATCTGTGATTTGTGTTCTATTCTGAATTAAATATTAGATGTTGGCACCTCCATATCATTGCATTCAGTTTTTATTCACAATTTGTTTAGTGTCCCAACTTTTTTGGAATCCGGTTTGTATATACATATATATAAATAATTACTTTTTGTACTACTATTCCTACTTCACGGTTTTTCACTTATCGCGGGTCTTCAAGGTACGGATCCCTCACAATAAATGAGGGACTACTGTACTTTGAGATAAAATTTATTTTGTGAAAAATTTACTCAAAATTCGATCAAAGGTTATAAGGCCCTGCAACTTCCAAGAGGAAATTACAACCCATGCAGATATTTTAACAACTTTTCAAGACTTCCAACATTTTTCAGTCAGGTCATCCAGATGACCTGACTGAAAAATGTTGGATTGTATACCTGGATTATTGAGCATGGACTTTGTTGTTTTCAAGACTTCATTGCAAATGTGGTTCTTAATTTTTTGCCAACAGTCAAAAAGACCAGTGAGACTAAAGATTTAAAATTAAGATTTATGAATTCCTCTGGGATATTTAACAGCACGCTGTCCAAATCATTTATCTCCGAGTGTGTAAGGATGTGAAAAGTCATGCTGGTTTCCAGGTGTCCTACAGTACATCATGTAAATGTGCAGAGGCTCACCCTTGCTCCTCCTATGAATGCAGGTGCATTAGTTGCTTCTGTGTAGCTGTCATAGACGTTAGGATACCGAATCCGTTCATACACTCTGTCTCTGGTCAACACAGGTTCATAGCGTGCATTCAACAAGGCCTGTTCTCTGTAAAATTTCAAAAGATACAGCTGACATTAAGACAAAAACACTGGGGTAAATACATAAAACACAGTCAAACATCAATCAAGTTAAAAATAATATTTTTAAAAATCTCTATGTGTGAATATCGTCTAATTTAAGTGTGACAGGGTGAAAAATTTATGTGCCCATCCATTAAATAAAATGACTGAATCACAAAGGAACTGTGACCTTAAAACCAAGCAAACTTTTAATGAAAACAGCATGAAAATTATTGGCCAAAAAAATTAAATCAAACCTGAAAAATTGAAACAAGTTCAAGCAATGACTACCTTAAAAATGTTACAGCAGGGAAGTTTTGGTTCAAATGGTTCTAAAAACTGTTCAAACCATTACAGAGCATACTACAGCAGTCTTCACTGAAGTCAAGCAAATGGCAGAAAAGTGACATGAAAATGTTGAATCAGGTCATCTGGACAGTTGCTTTTTTTTTTTTTTTTTTGGTTGAAACATTTCGCCCTCCATCCAAAGGGCTACATCAGTCTGAGAAGTCCCAAACAAACTATTTTCTCCACTAAGCAGTACACTCCTGCAGTGGATGGTTTCTGTTGGTTTCTGTTAAAATTTCTGCGATTGAGTTAAACTCAAAGCAGTCTACTCCTCGGATAAATAATGTTAAAATTATTTTTAAATATGAATGTTTTATGAACTTATCTTATATATGAATGTTTCTGTTCAGTGCCCTGAGATGACTTCTGTTGTGACTTGGCACTATATAAATAAACTGAATTGAATTACCAGATGTTTTAGTAGCTATTTGAGATATTTTGAATATCAATGAGATCGGTTTCAAACCAATCACTAGGGAGCATAAGCCAGTGTATCTCTGGTTCTGGTCCAAAGCCCGTGTAAATGGTGAGTGTTTTATCAGGAAGGGCATCCAACGTAAAACAGTTTTGCTCAAACTAATATGAGATTTCATCTAAACGACACCATACTAGATCGGTCGAGGCCCGGGTTAACAATGACAGCCACCGGTGCTGTTGAAACAGGGTGCCGGTGGAAATTGTGTTAATGTTAGTCGAAGACCACGAGGAGGGAAACTTGTCAGGAGACAGAGGGAGAAGAGGAAAGTCAAGAATGTAGGACTGAGGGTTGCAATTCGAAATGTGGGGACAATGACAGGCAAAGGTAGAAAGCTGACTGACATGATGCAGAGAAGAAAGTTGAATGTTTTGTGTGTCCAAGAGACAAAGTGGAAGGACAGCAAGGCTTGAAGAATTGGAGCAGGGTTCAAACAGTTTTATCATGATGTGGATAAAAAGAGAAATGGACTATGGGTCGTCATGAAAGAAGAGTTGGCAAAAAATGTAGTGGAGGTGAAAAGAGTGTCAGATAGGGTGATGTGCCTGAAGGTAGAAGTAGAAGGTCTGATGCTAAATGTTGTCAGTGGTTGTGTTCCACAGGTTAGGCTAGGGTATGTTACTTTATTTATACCCAAGGGTAGATTTGGTTTGCAGTGGTACAAAGCAAAAAACATACATCCATGTGCACACACACCGTAAAAAGTAAGAACACCTAAAATAAACCATTCACAGATAATAGTGCTCAAGGTTCCACAGGTCAAATTCAAAGTGGGTGTGGGTGAGTGGGTGTGGCAAGATGGCGCCAGCGTGTACTGGCAGTCGTCTACCCACCTTGTCAACGTTGTTGCTTATTGCTGTATTGTTTTATATGTTGTGCCAAGATATCTGTGGACTGTTAGTGTATGACCAACAGGTACTTATTGATCTAAATCAACACTTTGAATTTTCCCTAAACAAAAACTCTGTTGGCGAGCGCCTGGTGGCCGGGCTTTTACCAATGGAGCCCAGACGGGTACAGCCCGAAGAGGAGACGTAGGTCCCCCATCCCATGGGCTCACCACCTGTGGGAGGGGCCAAAGGGGTCGGGTGCAATGTGGGATGGGTGGTGGCTGAGGGCGGGGACCCTGGCTGTCTGATCCTGGGCTACAGAAGCTGGCTATTGGGACGTGGAATGTCACCTATCTGGTGCGGAAGGAGCCTGAGCTGCTGTGTGAGGTTGAGAGGTTCCGGCTAGAAATAGTCGGACTCACCTCAACGCATGGCTCTGGCTCTGGAACCAGTTTCCTTGAGAGGGGTTGGACAATTTCCACTCTGGAGTTGCCCCTGGTGAGAGGTGCCGAGCAGGAGTGGGCATACTTGTTGCCTTCCATCTTGGTGCCTGTACATTAGGGCTCACCCCAGTGAATGAAAGGGTAGCCTCCCTCTCCCTACGTGTTGGGGGACGAGTTCTGACTGTTGTTTGTGCTTATGCGCCAAACAGCTGCTCAGATTACCCAACCTTTTTGGAGTCCTTGGAGGGGGTACGGGAGAGTGCGCCTCCTGGGGACTCCCTTGTTTTACCGGAGGACTTCAACGCTCACGTGGGCAATGACAGTGAGACCTGGAGGGCTGTGGTTGGGTGAAACCCCCCCCCCCCCCCCCGATCTGAACCGGAGTGGTGTTCTGTTATTGGACTTCTGTGCTCGTCATGGATTGTCAATAATGAACACCATGTTCAGGCATAAGGGTGTCCATATGTGCTCTTGGCACCAGGACACCCTAGGCCGCAGTTCGATGATCGAATTTGTCGTCGTCTCATCTGATCTGCGGCCAAATGCCTTGGACACTCGGGTGAAGAGAGGGGCGGAGCTGTCCACTGACCGCTACCTGGTGGTGAGTTGGCTCAGATGGTGGGGGAGGATGCCGGTCAGACCTGGCAGATCCAAACGTACTGTGAGGGTCTGCTGGGAACGTCTGGCAGAGTCTCCCGTGAGACAGAGCTTTAACTCCCACCTCCGAGAGAGCTTCAAACACGTTCCAGGGGAGGCGGGGGACATTGAGTCTGAGTGGGCCATGTTCTGCGCCTCTATTATTGAGGCAACTTATCGGAGCTGTGACCACAAAGTTGTCGGTGCCTGTCGCGGCGGTAACACCCTCAAACCCAGTGGTGGACACCAGCGTTGAGGGATGCTGTCAGGCTGAAGGAGTCTTATTCGGCCTTTCTGGCCTGTGGGACCCCAGAAGCAGCTGATGGGTACCGGCAGTCCAAGTAGCATGCGGCTCGGGTGGTCGCTGAGGAAAAACTCAGGCATGGGAGGAGTTCGGCGAGGCCATGGAAAATGACTTCCGTATGGCGGCAAAGCGATTCTGGTCCACCATCAGGCGTCTCGTGCGGGG